ATGGAAATAAATATGTTTGCCTCTCATTTCTTCAATTATCGTGACATCACCACAAAATTTCTGGTGAGTGATCCTAGTCTGACCCCCAATATAAAACGATGTCATAAGCTGGTGGGCGTGGCCTTTTTTCTAAAATAGCACCCCCTACGACTGTTAAAACACTTAGCCCCCAGTCATGCTTTGACTGAGGATTGTGAAATTTTGCACACTTATGTAGTGTGCCTGGGCCTACAAAGAAGTCTCATGGAGCCATGTTCCATATTCCACAGGAAGTCGGCCATTTTGTTCCAATTACGTTTAATATTCTCTTTTGAAGCTGGAATATTTGCTATTGTAAAACATTTTTAGGGGGGATGGTTGGCAGGCTAGGAGGAAAGGCTGAGTCAGATTGAGGTGACAGCTCACAGTGATCACAGTTAAATGCACGTCGGGGTGTCTGGCGCGCATGGGCGCTTGTGCGACACCGGTCGCAGGGCGATGGGTTTGGAGAGCGTTAAGGATGGAGCGGAGGGGGGTGTGGACGGAGGGGGAGCAGCTTCGCTGCAAGGGCCGAACGACGGTGCTTGCTTGCTTGTGTCTCTTTCCTTGTGTTGTGTTGTTACATGGTGTCTTAGGTGCTTAAACCTGACAGTGAGAAGCTCCGTCATGCGGGAGGGGCTCGGAGTGGACCTGCTGCTCCTCCACATTGAGATGAGCCAGTTGAGGTGGCTCAGGCATCTGATGAAGGTGCCTCCTGGATGCCTCCCTGGCGCGACGGTGGCACAGGAGTTAAGTGCTCACCCCGTTATCGGAAGGTTGCAGGTTCGAGCCTCGCTCAGTCTGTCGCTGTCGATGTGTCCTTGGGCAAGACACTTAACCAACGTTGCCTGCTGGTGGTGGTCGGAGGGACCGGTGGCGCCAGTGCTCGGCAGCCTTGCCTCTGTCAGTGTGCCCAGGGCAGCTGTGGCTACATTGTAGCTCATCCCCACCAGTGTATGAATGTGTGTGTGAATGGGTGAATGATTGTGTTGTAAAGCACCTTGGGGGGTTCTAGGACTCTAGAAGGCGCTATATCAAATACAGGCCATTTTGGTGAGGTTTTCTGGGCACGTCCAACCGGGAGGAGACATAAATAGAGACCCAGGACACGTTGGAGAGACTATGTCTCTCACCTGGCCAGGGAACGCCTTGGGATTCCCCCCCAAGGAGCTGGCCCAAGTGGCTGGGAAGAGGGAAGTCTGGGCCTCTCTGCTTAGGCTGCTGCCCCCACGACCTGACTCCGGATAAGTGGAAGAAAATGGATGGATGGATGGATGGGTGGATAATATAATGTAATTACTTGCGTATTTAAAATAAATAAACAAATCTCTATCTGTAATGGATTTGGTCAATATCTCAAAAAATCTGTTCCGCCAGTATTATGAGCAGCTGCGAGCTGCATGTTAACACTATTTAAAAAACACCTGCTGATCATAACTATAATGTGAAATCCATATCCAAGTTACAAAGCTGAAATGTTGTTCACCAAGTCACATAAAAAGAAAAAGACCGGTGGCCTGAATTTGTTGCTAGGAAACAGAATGTACTGTGCATACCCCAACGTGTCCTCTTGTTGAAAAAAAAGCTGCTCATTAACACAACTGAAACACAAAGAGATGCCTAATGATGCTCAGAGCCACAAGGTTTTGTTCACTCCTTTAAAAAAGTGTAAAAAACACTAAATAACTTGTTATATTACGAGTCTAAACTGATGTGCAAAGAATCTGGAGATGATTAACTGCACAATGGAGTTGAGCGGCTGCAGCTACACATACAAACTTGTTGACTCATACTTAAACATTTTAAAGCTGCTATCTTGAGCAAACAGTGAAGTGAGTGTAACAAAGTGAACCGCAGCTATAAAGAAAAGCAACCTGGCCTAGTCAATGATATTCCCTCGCTCATGACTGGAAGTAAAGGAAGAATTAATCGACTGCTGCCTTTGACATAAAGCTCCACTGGTGTGCATACACCTGGTGTAGCCTATAGTTGTTAGAAGGAAAAGGTGGAGCTTCGCCATCTTGCTCACATACCTGACATACTCTCTGTTTAAAGGCTTGATGTATTAACAGAGCAAAACATCAAAAACAACAAGGCAGAAACTTGAACTGCCACCTGGGCTTTGTGAACGCCTTGCTGTCACTGCTGCAGCATACTTCTTGGAATGAAAGTAAATTACCCCTCGTCTATGGGTGTGTCAACACCCGTGCTTTTGTAAAAAATAAGTTGGTGAGAGGTTTAGAATTAGTGACGGGTGGTTTTAGGTTAACCTGAGTGCAAGCTACGGACAAATTCATTTACAGGATCACTTAAAAACACAGAGACAAACACAGGCTGATGCCCAACTCTGGGGTCCACATCAGACTTTACCTAAAGCTTCTGAGGAGACACCCACAACAATAAAGAGGAAGTTTCAATCAAATCTTTCAACAAAGGCCATATTAGTAGTTCCAGAATGACTTGCATGAGTGCTTGGAATACACCAGGTAGCTAAAAAATAATTTGTTGCTTGGGTTTAAGCTAAGAGCTATGAGCCTCCTGTTGGACAATTACTGAACAAGTGATCATCTTTAAACTGGCAACAGGTTTATTTAACCCCAACTGGTGCAACGAGCAGCTTCTCATTTGTCTAACAACCTATGTCTGTTGAAGACAGATAAGATAAGATCACTGGCATCGAGCAGAGAAAGCATCTCAGGAGATCAAATTTATACCCATTCCAGATAAAACTTGGGCCGGGAATGGTCTTGCTTTTTAGCCTCACGTTGGCGCTGGCAGCAGGCTGTGTCTTTGTTCACATACTTGTTGCTGCATTACACATAATACTGGAGTGTTCCACTAGGGGGCACAGTAGAGAACTCAGACCGGATAGAGTCCCAGGTTTGTAGAATACAACCAAAACAAACATGGCGTCAATAGAAGAGATCAGTAACTGGTTAATTTTGAGGGCAGGGTGTAGAAAAAGACAGCAGCGGTATTGGAGATAGTATGAAAGCCTCATAAACCCCAGACTAGGGTTGGGCATCATTTGATTATGAACGATTCCGATTCCAATTCCTCGTTTCGATTCCGGTTCCTATCGATTCCCGATTCCGATTCTTTGAAGACACGACATGTTTTACATGAGCCAGCTAACCACAGGTCCTACTTGATGAAATAATCTTAACTTCAACATGAATTTTAATTCTATGAACAATAACATCACCTTCATTTAGACAAAAACGTGTTTTGGAGAACAAAAGAAAAAGACTTGCAGCACAACCAGTGTGTTTGTTTCTGTCCACAACCAAAGTGTGGAAGAAGCCTCTGGGATGAGAGGCTAAATGTCTCCAACATATCCAGAAACGCCCAGCTGTTTCCAGCTAAAGCTCTCAGGATGATCATGTCAAGGATGACTGAGAACTGCACCTCCATGCTGCAGCAGCATTCAGTCAGAACAGAAACTTAAATGTAGCTGCTGTCAGTAACAATCTAACAGTTTTAAACATTAAAACTCAACAGAAATAGTTGAGAAAAGAAATTAAAATGTTCACAACTTTGTGTGTGATTTATAATTATTATTATTATTATTATTATAACTATTTATTGTGGCAGAAGCTGGTGTGGTCCACCACAGAGAAGCTTCTCTAGCATGATGACTTTATTCTACAGGTTATTGTTCAGCCTTCTGATGCTCACACACACACACACACACACACACACACACACACACACACACACACACACACACACACACACACACACACACACACACACACACACACACACACACACACACACACACACACACACACACACACACACACAGAGTGTTGGTGAGCGGCTGCGTCTGACTGCTGACGCTCCGTGTGTGTTTTTATTTCTGCACTGAGACAAACTCACCTCACACCGTCCAGAGTTTGTTCTTAAAGCTTCTATTAAATCCACAGTGTTGATATGTTTTAACAAGTTTCCTCTACGCTGCAGGAGTTAAAGTTTACATTACGGAGTAAAAGTTCGGCAGACACGTTTGTTTACATCCGGGTGGGGGGAGGGGGGACTCGGTGCTGCAGACAGACAGCTGGTGTGATCAGCTCTGAAAAGCGTTGATCACAATTTGCAGATCACGTTTATTTTTCACGGAGATCGGCCGCGGATTCCTCTTCTGTCGGTATCCTAGGAATCGAAACTAGGAATCGAAATAAAAAACGTTGAGCGATTACGGGAAAAATGAACAGTTGGAACCGGTTCTAATCGATGCTCGATGCCCAATGCCCAACCCTACCCCAGACAGACCATGGTGAGTAGAGATGTAAGAAAATATCAATATTATATTGATATTCAAAAGCAGTGTATCGAAAATATTGATATCGCAATATATCACGATATTTTTTCCTGCAATATTATATCGATATTCAATATCTATTAATATATATAATTCTTGAAAGAATTTACATGCAAGCATTTGTGTACTTTCTTCTCTTTTGGTGCAATTCAAATGTCAACCTCTAGTTGGCAGCAGTGTGCAATGGGTTTTGTTTCCGGCACTGAAATGTAAATCTCTCTATTATGGTTCAGATACCTCGTGTTAAACATGTTAAGTGCCAGTTTGGACTGTTTACTGACTTTTCCTACAATAAAGTCAGTCTAAAATAACGCTAATATTGTCTCACTGAATGTATCACAATACATCGTGATACATCGTTGCATTCAAACACATATTGCATCGCCTCCCCTGTATCGTGATGCGTATCGTGTCACCATCATTTCACCAACACACATCCCTAATGGTGAGTGTGTCTTGCTTGATTTGTCAACGCCGCCTACTGGATACTTATATATTGCAGTTTACGAAGGTATCGTGTAAATTTTAGGTGACGTGCACAAATGATGCTTCAAATCAACTCAAGTTATGTGAGGCAGCATTTTTAAGCACATGTACGTGTCATTAAAAAGAAAGTAATTTCTCCGCCTAATAAAAGAAAAGCAGGATAAAGATTTACTGCTGAGTCTTCTCCAGCTCTCCGTACAGCCACCCATCCCTCTCTTCATGGATGAGCAAACTGATGATGTCACCATCATCAAAGCTGAGGAGTGTGTGATTGTTGCCCGCTGTGTGAGGAAAGATGGTCCTGACTCGGGACTTCCTGCTCACGTTCAGACCAGACGACTGGGATGTGGACCTGGACAGGCTGCCGTCTCCAACACTGCTCCGGTCTGGAGGGAGAAACAGGCAAGAATCTTAACCATTACATCTGCCCGACAAAAAAAAAAACTGTTTGGCATGTCAGAAAACTTTAGGAATCTTTTCTAACGATTTTTGTTAATATAAAAACTGCCATAGGAACTCCTGCCAGCTGATTTTAGTTTGCAGGCTCATGGTTCAGTGATGCATCCCATTACAAAGGCCACATTCAAACATTTATTCGTACCTGAGCTGAGATCTGAGGGGGAGGTCAGCGGAGATTTGGGCTCAGGGTTAAACATATTGGCCAGTGGGCTGATCTGGGCCTTTACTGGTGGTGCTGGTGGAAGCCCCATGGTCCCCACGTTGTTCTGAGCAAGGAGAAGGGTTTAGTAGATGCAATATGCAAATCTTTAAATTAATACAGTCGTTGCTGCAAAGAAGACGTCCTCCTCCACTAAAGTGTACTTTACTACAAGATAACCAGACGGACTCTGTCCTGATTCAGTGGATATCACCACCACAGGTGACAGCACAGATAAAACCTCAGAAATCTTTCAGCACACAGAGTTTGCTTTATCGACACCGGTATCAAAAACACCTCGTAGGATGATGAAAGGGGATCACCTTGTTGTGGAAGTCAGTCAGTGATGTTGCTTCTGGAACGGTGGACAGACCTATCATTTTCACCACAGAGTCCGGCATTTGGTTGACGTCGCTGCATTTTTCCTGCCAGGTTGGCAGCCTTGAATTCAGGATCTCTTTGGCCTAAAAACAGGAAGAAAACATGACGAGTTAGGCGAGGTGCGGATGTGATGGTGAGAGAGGTGAGGGATGCCTTAGCTCCATACTCCCATACTTTGTCGTAAAAGTTGCTAAGCTGGTAGGAAAACATGCAGTGCTTGTCTGCCAGGAAGCAGAAGCGCCTCTTTTCTTCCAGGAAGGCCTCTCTGCAGCCGTCTGCAATGAACTTCTGCATGTCCCTCTGTCGGGATGTGATGGTCTCCAAATACTGCAGGAACAGGATGGCAAAGAGGTCACGGCAGGCCACTGACATAAGAGATGGAGTGTATTATAATGCTTTTGGATGCTTTCTTCAGCTGAAACTGCACCCTATCCGAGTGGGGAGGGGCTCACGTTACAAAGAGAAATTTGCATTAAAAACATTTATTTCTGTACTGATCCTAATGGTGTACGCTCTAAGTTTAATATAATCCTTTTGTTTTTCTCTGCATCAACATAATTGTTGTTTCCTGTATTCCGTAACACCAGGTCGAGCCTTCTGGACACACCTTTTTACCTCTGGTTCATGAGGAGTTGTTTTCATGAATTTACTATCAGCTGATGGCTGAAAGCTCCGCTCTTATCAGTCCCAATAAAAAACACCTTGATCTTTGATTTTAATGGTCCGACCTGCAAAACACGTGCAGATCCTCCTGACTGCCCTTTCAGCTGCTTTCACATTGAAAAACAAAAGTCTTCTGTGTCTGCTGCTAAGTAAAAGCTAATTACGTCTAAATTAGGAGACTGAGTGTTTGGCGAGTCTTGTGATGAAAGTCGCTGCACATATTGGACAGTTGGTGTAGGTCTCTTGCTGTTCCAGGATCAATCTTCGCTAAAAGGAAGACACTTTCCCCACCGAGAACAGCTTCTGCCTGCTTCACGGTACCGACAGACTAGTGAGCTTGACATAAGTGGTACCAAACTCCTTAAAATTACTTCTCAACCTTCCCTTCTGCTCCCTCTCTTTCATTTTTCACAGGTTGCCACGGTGACGGGAAAGCAGCCGGTTTCTAAGCGCTCTGTAAAGGACCCCTCACCAACTGGCTGATCTCATTTTCTCAGATTCAGAATTGAGGTTCTTCATTTCCCACTTTCATCACAAACAAAGAGCCGGACATATCAGCTAGAGCTTAGACGGCCTACTCAAACTCAGCTCCTGATTATTAGAAAGTAGGCACTGGTGTCATTTTCATCAGATAAAGAAAAAGTATGAGGCAGGGCTCTGGTTTCACCCCAGCTCAGGAAACTGGATCAGGTTATCGAGCTCCACCCAAGATATGGCGGTTTGTTGTAAAAGGTGTTTTAGCCCGGTACCGTTAGCTTTTACACACGCAGAACGGACAGCTGCACACCTGCATGCACCCAAACATCATTTAGTCTTTTCAGCTAAAAGATTTGTGTTGTTCTCTCAAAACAAGCTGTGCTTACACATCATTCATCATCGAAGAGAGGCTGTGAAAACGGTTAATAAATTATAAAGCAGGACTTATTACTCAGCTACTCCTTTATCTAACACTGATTTACTGAGCAAAGTCCTGCCAGGAGTCCAAACCGCCCGGTGGAAGTAAACACCACCAAACCTTTACAAGCACATGCCTTAACCAGTACAGCGAGGGCCACTGAGCTGTGTAAAACCGCCCCAGTCAAGCATGGCCGTGTCAACACACACCAGGAAGGCTTCAAAGCCGCGTTTGTGTACCTGTGCTCTCTGAACAGCGGCATGGATATGTTTGACATGTGATTTTTAAGATTAGGCCTCGTGAGGGCACATTTCTGTCCAGCTACGCCTGCTTGTAAATAGCTGTCATGCATAGCAGGTTTCTGAAAAATACACCTGCTTAAACAAATATCACACAAGAGCTCAGCTGCAGCGTGGCTGTGGGAGCTGTAATATGCAAATCTGAGATGATTAAAGCCAAATTAGAAGTTCCTTCCTTGTAAAAGTCTTTCTCCAGCGTTTGTTTGCCCAAACCTGTTAAAAGCTGCAGTATTTTTCTGTAACTGGGGAGAAAAAAGGAACAATAACCAGGGCTATATTCTCACGATAGCAAGAATCGCTTAATCGGATGTCTTTGCCTGAATTTGGCACACATCTAATCTAAGCAGCACATTGCAGTTTATTTTCCAACTTTAACCAATTCAGTCCACATTTGTATGTGCATTTTGCAAGGTTGTCAACAATATAATTTATTGCTGAGCAGAAAGAATACAATTCAAGAAAAAGGGAAACTTCTTTTATCCATTCACACACTTGGTGTTGCTGTTACTGCCTCCTCTGGTGCACAATTAAGCCTGTAACACGTGTGTGATGCAAGGCTGAGATGAAATCAGATGTGATAGTTCAGACCAAGGCAGCTTGGAAAACATCCATTATGAATCTGATCTAGAAGCACATATGGGTCTGATTTGTGATTTGAAGAAAAATCTGATATTAATTAAAAAAAAATTGTTTGGGCCACTTTTGTCTGCAGTGTGGATGTGGCCCAAGTTACAAAGCAATAAAAGTTGTTTAAGGTCAACTACTGACAAAGATCTAAACCTTTTTGACCCATCAACTGGGTGAGAGCTGATGTTGCAGGCACGTCCTGCAGAAGAGGGCGGATTAAGTCTCTGGACTGGTCTGGGAACACCTTGGGATCCCTTAAGAAGTTTGGTGAAGTGGCTAGAGACCGAGCAGTCTGGAGTTCCCCTGCTAGGGGCACTGACCCATGAACTGGACAAGTGGAAAAACACGAGTACAGGTTCAAGTACAAGTACGGTAAACGTCCCACTGAAAACAAGACAGGCCTCAAAAGCATTGCATTCAAATGCTGCCATGTCCCAAACTTGAGACCCAATGGCTGTCCTCAATGTAAACTCACTGTTTGCAAACATGTTTGGTGATTTCATCCCTTCTGAGGGTCAGAAACACAAGCACGGTTGAAGGTTTTCCACGTGTCTACTAATAACAAAGCCCTTATGAAATATTAAACACAATTGGAGTGCAAACGTGGAATGTAAGACCCATGAGAAGACTGCTTAAAGGCCTCATTCACTTGTTTTTTCCAAAACACTTGCTCTGCTTTCCAGTAGGATTGAATCCCTATACCCTGTTTTCTGTGGAAAAAGAAGCTCTGGCGTTCCTGCTTCAGGAAGTAGAAGTTAGCAGGAGGAATGAAGAGATGGCGAGGAGGGGCAGCAGGACTTCCAGTCTTGCTCATTTTTATTCATGATACAAGAACATCTGGTCTCTGATTGGCTAACAGCAATGACACTCTTCTGCTGCCTCCATTCACTCTTCTTTCTTGGGTAAAAAAATGCATCATTGATATTTCATCTCCACAAACACAAGGCAGTCTGCCATAATGTGGCTTTGCTAATCTAACAGTTAGCTTCCACTAGCCAAGACATGCTCTGCTCTCTCCTGGATGCTAAATCCACGACAGCCTTCTATGTTGCAAGCCGAGGTGGGTGAGACCATGAATGAAAACTTCCTCTGTGATGTAGATCTGTGTGGCATCCGAGTGTTTCTGCGTCTATTTCTTTTTCGCAACTAATGCAGGAAATAGGGGTAGAAGACTATTTTCACGTTAATCCAGCACGCCAAATTCAGAGTGACTGATCGTATTTAACAAAGAAAAGTATTATTTGGTTTCTCAGTGAAAGAGATCTTTAAGAACATGAGCTGCACATGTCGGTTTCCGTCTCACCTCATTCTCTTTTATGTCGTACTTGGACGAGTGCTTTGCTTGACTTTTCCTCCTGAGCTTCTTCAGGTCTGTCTGAGAGCGCTCCAGAGAGTCCTGCTTCAGTTTGTGCTCGGTCTGATAGCGCTTGAAGGTGGCCTGGGGACAGATGTTTGACAAGCGACACAAAAGAATCTGTGAAGATCTGTGGTTTGTGAAATGAACACTGGTCAGGGATGGGGGGCACTTACGGTCATGTACTTCACATCCATTTCTGTCTTCTTCTCCAGCTCTACAATAATCTCTTCATGAAATCTCTTGAGCTGTGGAGAGAAAATGTTCAGCTCACTGAAATCTTTGTAATCCTTAAAACACCTAAATGTCAGGAGACTAATGAATGCTAAAGCGTTTGAGAGGATGAAGCTCCCCCAACCAGGTCTGGTTTATCACACTGTTTAAGGTTAAAGGTTCACAAGTGCTCCATCACACAGATCCAACCACGTTAGAGTTTCTACCCTCAAACCTTTCTAACAAAAGACGTTGGGGTTTTAGTGATTCCACATTTTGAATAATGACACTTTAATAAAACATCTGAAGCATTTCTCTTGATGCAGGATGACCTTTTCTGCTCTTGCTGAATATCTTTATGTAACCGCTTGCTATGACGACGAGACGCTAAAGCAACAGGACTGGGCTGCTGAGATTACACGCGACAGGAACCTGAAACAAGTGGTCAACCTGCATTGTGTTGTGCAAAGATAAGATGAGCATTTGTGACCATAAAAAGTTCCAGGATTAGCAGTTCGGGACTTGTGATTTACTTTGTTATCACACAAGTGCAACATGAACACCCTTAATGTGCAGTTTTCAGCTGAGCAGACAGGATCAGCTCAACCACTTTATTGTGGCAATTACAAAACGATTTAAAGCTAAGCTTTAAAACACTTTACTATAACTACACAAATAAAAGTTTTAATGTCAAACCCAACAAAGACTTCTGATTTCAGATTAAACTACACAATTCTAAAGGCTTCATGACATCGTCCTCCAATCTCAGCTGAACAATGTGAGATGCATGTGTCATGATAAAACATTCTGATGTGAAAAAGACCAAACCAATTGTAATGTATTGCTTTCTCTCAGTTCAGATGTCTTCGATAGCAGGGCTAAATTTGTAATAATTCAGTTTGCAATCCGCCTTTCAAACGAAACCTCAATCAGGGTTCGGCCAGATGGATCAATCACAAACCGGAGAAAACAATCAGGTGATGGTATTCCTGTGGATGATGTCAGCCTCTGTTGCTGCTCTCTGCCTTGATTATGCCAGAACTGATTCTGATCTATATTAGGAAAACATCCCAGGACCCGATTATACTGCAACAACCTCACAATTTCAATACTCTTCTCCTATGTGACCATCACAGCACTCTGTGTGCTTTAGCATCTCAGCTACTACGAGCTAATCCAGTGAGTGTCCATCTGAAAGCCTGAGCTCATGCTTTTTTACTAATTCAGGCTGTTGCTTCCCCTGCTTACCTAGAGATCAGCTTCAGAAAGTAACTGACTCGTGTGGGAAGCCCAGACATCCCTCCAGCTTCTCCTGGGTGATCCCAAAGCATTCCCAGGAAACAGAGAATATCCAATGCCTCCAATAGTTTCTGAGCCTGCCCTGAAATCTCCTCCTGGAGGCATGCTAATTAGATGCCTAAACACCTCAGCTGACTTGTTTTGATGAGGAGGAGCTGCCACTCTACTCATAATGCTTTCGTCACAGCAGATGAAGCCCTGATCCATTGTTCCATCTTTCAATTCATCCTACCATCACTCATGAACTTTCCCACATGAAGCCCTTCCAACTCGTAGGAGCCTTCCACCCTTTTGTGGTTGTGAACCATGTCCTCAGATCTGGAGGAGCTGACTGACTCTCTCAACTAGGTTACAAAGAGCAAACATGAAACCCGGAGGTTTCCAAACCACACATCCTCTCCGGGACCTGGCCTTAAGATCCTGTCCATGAACATCACAAACAGGATCAGGGGCGGCCTTGGAGGAGTCCAACCTGTGCTAAGAACAAGCTTCAATGTGGAAAACAGCTCTTGCGCTGATCGCACAGGGATCCGATTTAGTGATCCTGGTTTTGAACACATCCATGCAGTGATGATACAGTTTTGATGTATAGTGCAGCCCTGTCCTGCACACATCTCAAGTCAGGTCCTCTCCTGAGGCTGTTGCTCATCCCACCTCCAATAATTGTACCATACCTGACCCAGAGTGGAATTCTAAATGCTGGCAGCACGTGTTGAAGAACAAGCCTGCTGCTGCTCTACAACCCATCCATGCTGCAAATTTGTGATTCACAAATGACAACAAACGAGTTAAGGGAGATTCCTGCACATTAGGAAACGTTTTGTTTAGTACATGGTGTAAAAATGCCCTTGGTAAATGTTCTACAACGTTTGGTCTGTTCTCATCGCAGCTAGGTAGTGGTGCACATGCCTGCAGGAATAATATGGTTTAGGAAAAGACCAACAGAAAAACCCAAGTCCATCCCAAACTATCAAAGAAACTTGTTTACCAATGAAAAACAGGGAAAGTGAAATGAAACACTGCTTTTCAATAATTAAAATCACAGTATTAACACTTCTTATACAGCTGTTTCTCGGAGCGTTAATACTTTAGTTAAAAGAAAACATAACATTAAATAAACACCAATAAAGGGGAGGTTGGATAAACTAAACCATGTCTAGTAGTTTAGTGAGATTCTCTTTAACGGCCAGGAAAAGAACACTTTAGTCTCTCCATCACACTAAAGCATGAACTGAACTTAAACAAAAACATATACATAAACTGGGATGTTTGAGAAAAAATGTGTTATTATTACTAAAACACTTATTTCCTCAAAAGAATAAACTAATGATAAATTATTGAGATTTTGTTGATTTTTCCTTGATGTGAGTAAATGATTGAAAAAACAGTCATATTTATTTTTTAAACCTCACACTTTATATGGCACAATAGGCACCCGAGGGCTAACAAAAGGTTTTACAACTACCTGGTGATCTGCGGGGTATGGCACTTCCTAAATTATTTATTTATACTGAGCATCTAATATCAGTTAATTGTTGTTTTGGCTGAGAAGAAATGTTTTTGCACCAAGTTGGTTGACTGCAGAGAGAGCTTCATCTGTCTCTAGCTCTCCTATAGCTCTACTCTGCTCTCAGCTGCCCTTACCAACCCCAATATCTTCATACTTGGCCAATCCCATTGTTGTTCAGACAATTTATTTATTTATTTATTTATTTATGTATCTCAAACCATTGAAAAACATCAAATTACATATGCACTCCTCCATATTCCTGGTGCATAAAAATTTAAAAATGTGGAATACGATTAACATATGATGTTGAAGAAAACAATACAAAACATACAATAACATAAAACTGTTTGAGAGGGAACTGGAAGAAGCAAAAGCTTATCTAGTCCAGCCCCAATTCAGTTAATAAATCACATTTGTCCACATTAGCAAATTTGAAAGAATTTTTTTTTTCTTTATGCAGGTCATTCTATCTTCACCTTGCTACACAAAAATACAGTTACGAAACAATTGTTCACATGAATCTACGGAAAAAGGAAAACAAAACCAATAAACAATAAAAATAAAATATTCCATTTGCTACCAATTACCATTTTTATCACTTACTATTTATGTATGAGTCAGTTATAAGTTGTTTATACAACATTTTAAATGATCTAATGTTTTTACATAATTTTAAAGTCACATCAGGTTTGTTCCACAGTTTGATACCACATACAGATACACACATACTTTTCATAGTTGTTCGGTATAATGGAAAAATGAAGTTTTTAACGCATCTCAATTCATAACCTTCTTCATGAGTTTTAAACATCCTTTGCAAATTACCCGGTAGTACACCCATCATGGCCCTATAAGGTACTAGGACAGTTTTAAATTGAATTAAGTCAAAAAATGTGAGTAATCTGGAATTATAGAATAGTGGAGTTGTATGATCTCTGTACAATCGAGATCTGGAGTCAGTGGAGACACTCTTGGTTTAACTGACTTATCGTACCACACGTTTCTTCCTTCTGTGTCTGATGACGCCTTTCGTAGGTAAATAAATTCATAAATTCTCTATGACTTGTGTGTTGATGGTACGTTTTCCTCCTTTGAACAGCTGGTGGTCATATTTCATGTCCACAACTCAGATTTTTAGGTACTTACTACTGAGACACTTTATTAAATCTAATTCTGATCGTGTTCCCCAGTGCCCATCTCGGACCCTTCTTGATGACATCTTGGATTGTCTGACGATCTCTATGAGAGCTCTAAGCAGACTTTATACCCAGCTCAGCTTACATGATCGGGCTAATCTGGATGTTGTAAAGGGAAATAGGAGCTGAGCCTGGGTGTTGGATCGTCAGATTTGGTCTGGAATGAGGTTCTACGGAACGTTCATAAGTCCTCGATTTGTGTGAGACGCAGACTCATTCATTTCAAAGTGGTATATTGTTTGCATTGGTCTAAAGACAGATTGCCTAAGATTAAGCTGGACTTGGACCCATCGTGCACTAATTGCTACACAGCCACACTTGTTGGTTTGTGTTCTGGACCTGCTCGACTCTACAGGGATATCTGTGGCCTATTTTTGATGCACTCTCCAGTATTTGTGGCACCATTGTGTGTCCAGACCCTTTGGCCTCTCCGAGTGGTCACAGTGGATGCTGCTTTGGATAGAAGCCAATTAAACTTGATTGCTTTATGCTTTTTGTTGGCCAAGAGACTCGTCCTGTCCAAATGGAAAGACTCAGATCCTTCGACATACAGACACTGTGTTAAAGAATACATGAGTCACGCTTGTCTGGAGAGAAATCAGGCATTGCCTGGGGAGTTAGGTGGACAGCTTTGATGTTGTATGGTTATCGTTTGTCTTTGTATGAAAGTGTACCTGTTAATAAATTTGTGTGACTGTCGCTTTCATCGATTCATATTTTATCTCTTCTGTCTTTCTTCCGTGTTCGTGTTTTGATTTGGTGTCGCTTTGAAGACAGGTTATTTTTTACGCTTGTCTTTTTTGAGTTAGATCCAGTGTAGTGGGGTGGATGGGAGTGGTTTTGTTTAGACATGCTTGTTCTGTTCTGTCAAAAATGTTGTCATAAATATTTTAAAACGACTGTTAAAAATGTATCCTTTGGTCCCACTTACATTCTCCTCCAGTTCATTGTAGACCTTCCGGTGAACTTCAGCGACCTCCATCAAAACAACACCTACAAGAGAGCAGAAACAGCTTCATGTTTCCATTCATCCTAAACTTCAGTTCTGTGTCTTTTATTTCTGAGAGTAGAAGTGTAGTTTCATATTTTTTATGGGATATCAAACGCTTCAGCTTTCCTGCTGAACTCTTTGAAGTAAACTAAATCAAGGTTTTATGAAAATGCTGACCTGATCTTCAATAAAAAGGATAAATGAACATTAAAACCCAAGAGTGCTGCCTGACAGGAGTAAAAATGTCCAGGGGTGTAAATTTCTCCATCAGTAACCAAGGCTTGCCAAAAGATTCCTGTGTAACCAGTTTTTCCATTGAGCCGTGTGCTCATTTTTTTCTGCTCATATTTTTCAGGTGACTTATCTCCTTTCAATATTGAACCAGCTGTGGACAGACGGTCTCAGTGAAGCGCTCTGGTATTGTGCAGTCAGATACAGAACAGTCTCCATTCACATACTGGACATGGCACGGACAACGTGAAACAAAGGCAGTGAGTCAGAACTGTAAACACGGTCGTAGCTAAGCAGTTCACGGGGCACGGTCACAATGTGGTGAAATCTAGATTAAAAGGTTTACTATAGGACACCATGTTCTGGTGAAAGCTGCAAAAGCACATTCACTCCTGCTTTTTACTTAACACCAGCTGCACACGGGCTGCGCTTGACAAGAGTTACACTTCAACGCGTGAAGAATCCACAGGTGTCACTTTTGGGTTGCAGCCCACGTCAGCAGCACTCACACACATCAGCACCTGCCTCGGTGTGTTATGGCCCGCCGCTACGGAGCTGGACTTCTGTGGTGCAGCGGGGAGCACCCCGCTATAACAACATTGCCCTCTGAAGGTCACCAGAACGCACTGGTAAATGCTGCCTTTGTGTTTAAATGAGAGGGTGGCAGAGCTGTTTGTGCAGCCTGCGGGGGGGCGAGGACGGTTAGGAGGAGGAGAGGTGGGAGGGGGGTTCAAAGGGGCCATTGTACACCTGTCTGTTTCACCTTTTGGGGTGAACAGGGTGTGAAAACCTACCCGAGAGAGGGTAAAGGCTACAGAAACTCATCACACGGTGCAAGGAGGGAGTAATGGAGAGGTAAATGTTACACTGGCAGCACAGCTAAAGCTCTTCGCCTCAAAGAGAAAACCACAAAGGCATGCCTTATCTTCACTTATCTCTTATCTCACACGGATTTGTTCTCTTTTGAGGACTTAAGTACCAAGAAACTAGTTTATCACCTTTTACAAAAATAAAACCATTCTCACATATTTTTGTTTCGCCATGAGAACACCTTGCTTTTGCACACCACTCCTCCAGCTCACCAGTAGTCCTGAGTTCATACTTTAACCCTTTCAGACAAACATCTGCATGTGTAAGCAAACAGCCTGATCTATGAAGATAATCACAACCCAGCACAGGTGTTGGCCACTTTCCTTCGAGCATAACTAAACTAGTAGTTTAAAAACTCAACACGGTTATGAGCCCTTTGCACGTTTTCACAGTACAAGTCCTCTCCACCAAGCTTTGACGAAACAAAGAGCAACGATTGCACCTCCTGAACAGCTGATGTGTTTTATGAGATGGAGACACCCTGTGTCAACACAGATCCTACCCATTGGATGTTTGATAAGGAGATATGAATAGTGCTGATGGTGTTATGGTGTTAGCACATTTTCAGTGTGCCACTTTTCCAACTTGTCTCTTTCAGTCAAACAATATCTCCTCTCTCAACCAGCCATAAACCCACTCTTCTATTGGTCATCACCTTGGTTTCCTCATCAAAAGCATTGTTGTAAAACATGATCTCCTCCTTCATGAGTCAAGATCCAATAAAATCTGAATTATTCTCATTCTCGTGGAGACTCTGGGTGTTGTTAAAGGTTGGCCACTCCTCGTGCATTCATTCTGAAGGCACCGTGTCTGTATCTTCCTTGTGACACAAAGAAAAGGAATGATAGCTTTAGATGTCAATGAATCAAAGAGAAAATTAACTTTTCACTGGGATTTTATGCCAAATTAAATTGGCAAATATTGATAATAATAACATTTTATAATTTATGTGTGGATGACGATTAGGGCCACTGGAAAAAAACAATTCTTACGTTTTTTTCTCATAAGTTAAGTCAGAATTTTTCTTTCCTTTTCTTTTCTGTGGCCCTAATCATCTTCCATACTAGTGCATCGATAAACGTATGAATAAAATCTATTGGCAAGCAAAAATGTGCTTCACAATAGTTTTACCATCAGGATTATTTGAGTCAATCTAGGCTGTTTCCTGTTAAAATAACAACAGAGGTAGGCCATAGTAGACTGGTGAACCAGAGCCAAGACTTTGAGTAATTATAACACCAGTACAGCACACTGATCTAGGTGTTCATGGCAAACACAACCAGCTTTCGTTCTCCTGTGATTCCCACAAGAGGTAAGGACTCTTCTGCCGTCCAGTCCTGTTAAAACCCTGCTTCATCACACCTGAGTTTAATCAGTAGGTGATTAACAGACTTCTGCAGAGCCTGGTGAGCTGCTGAACAGGTGAATCAACCACTGCGTTAGAGCAGGGAAACAACTAAAACATGCTGGATACTGGCCCTCAAG